CCTGACAGGTAAGAACCTCCACAGGTATATTAGTTACTTTTCTGTTGCTGGGATAAAAGGCTATGACCAAGGCAACTTATAAAAGAAAGAGTTTATTTTGGCTTATGGTTCCAGACGAAGAGTCAAGAGTGGCGGGGGAGGCATGGCAGGAGGTGGCTGGAGCAGAAAGCAGAGAACACATGCAGGAAGGACAGAGAACAAAGCTGGAAGTGGAGAAAGGCTAAGAGCCCTCAAAGCCACCTCAGTGACCTGCTTCCCCAGCAAGGCCAAACCTCCTGAACCTCTGTGAACAGCACCACCAACTGGGAACCAAGTACTGAAAACACCGAGTCTCTGGAGGGCATTCCCATTCAGACCACCACAGCAGCTAAGCAGGAAAGTCTGCTGAGGAGCTGGAAGATAGAGCCATCCTGGGTTGGGTGATCTTCATATCGCCTTTTCCCACATATTTTCTGTCATCAGCCCCAACAGCACACCAGAAAGGATCTGCTTATAATAATAAACATAAGAATATGTAAAAAGACCCACTTGCAATGTTATATATTACTTGCATAACATTAAATTTTTAAATTTCTGGGATAGATACATTTATATCAGAATATAACTCTGAAAAATCATCAATGGAATCTGCCACCAAAATTTCCCCTGTATTTACTTAGAAGCTTTGATAGCTACAGCATATGTCAAGACTTCACAAAACAGGAGATCTTCCTAGCTTGAAGTACATAATCAATGCTGTAGAGACACTTCTGTTAGTGAATAAATGATGAAGCTCGACCAGAAAAGATGCAGAGTCAACAGAAACATTCAACAAAATACACAGCTATGAATGGCCCTAGAATTAAATGAGGGTTTTCATACACTATACACTCTTTAAAAAGAGGAAGATAACGGGGGTTGGGTACAGATACAATTACTTGATTAGCATTTTGCAGACATTTCAGGGCAAAGATCTCTTTACACTTGTCTTTGAGTTAATTCTTACTGAAAACAGAGTGAAGTAAATGTGGTCCATTTTCCAAGTGGAGCTTGGATAGTATTTCCCCTTACACTATAATTGATACTTACTCTAAATAAGGTTTCAGAAATATTCCTGCAAGCAGTTAAGGTTATACTTATAAAAATATATCTAACTATGATGATTTAGGAACAGACAATGCCATTTAAAATATGAAGCTGATCAATACGAACTAACGTGGAAAACGTCTATAACGTTCTGCCAAGCTACGAAGCAAATTGTTCACCAGTGTGATTTCATGATTTAACTTTTCTAAATGCACAAGAACACACATGCGTCCATATGCTTTTGCACATGCATACAGAGAGATGAACAAGGAACTTTTAAACTGTCATATCTCATGCATCAGAGTGAGGATGAGGATGGAGATGGACATTTTCTCCTCTGGGTAGGGTTTGAAATTTTTATTCAATCAATATATTCTATTTTCATAATTTAAATATGCACACATATTTTATAGAAATAAAAATGCATACATATGCAAAAAATAATATTTATCAATGTATCTGCCAGAGAGGTTGAGAGCATTTTGATATCGTAATGTGTTTATGTCTTCTTACAGACCCAAGGGCCATCAGTGTGCCCTCTCCAACCAGCTTAACTGGATGACTTTCACTGAAGAGCCTACATGATGGTCTTACCACTGCCTATAACTGTGTTTAGAGTCTCTCAGTAGCAGATGTAATTTTTGGATATTTTACATGACAAATAAGCTTCACAACCACACTATTTTTTAAGTGTTCAGAATGAAAATCTCATGCTGTTGACTTTGAAGATTTCTTTTTGAAACAAGTCTCCTGTTTCATCAAACACATACAAGTTCTGGTTGTACAAGATGTAAAATCAGGGGCAGAGAGATGGTTCAGTGGTTAAGAGCACTGGCTACTCTTACAGAGGACCTGGGTTTGGTTCCCAGCACCCATCATTGCAGCTAACAACTGTCCATAACTCCAGGTTCCAGGGGATCCAACACCCTCTTCTGACCTCTGTTGGCACTGCATGCATGTGGCATGCTTACATACATGCACATAAGTCATACACATAAAATAAATATGCCAAGGAGTGGTATAACCGCCACACTTTGGACACAGGACTTGGAACAATCAAGCTGGAACTGACCAGAAAGCCTCCTCCCTGAAGACCAGCTCTCATGGTGTCAGAGAAGATGATAAAAGCTGCCACGGGTGAAAACCAGTCAACGGTCCTGCCCAGCTGTGAAGCCTAATAACAATGACTGGCCTAGCAAACTATCCCTATTGGTACATAGTGGCACTTTTTTTCTTGGGGGTAATCAGTAGCTGTCTAAATGGAATTAAGGGAACACTCATGTGCGATACTCTAAACATAGCCAAATACACATGGCTGGAGAGGTCATAGATCCTAGAGAAAAACCTCCTTTTGCCACATCCCTAGAACAACGTAATTTCTTACTTTATTTTAAATGTGCACCCTCCTATCTAAAAACAATTGTACCTTTCACCCCTCATCAAAGAAGCTTCTTTTTGAAGCAAATGGAGACTACTACAGAACTCCAGAATTCATCAAATGCTGAGAATAAGTGTCTAGGAGATATTCAACCCTACGTGACACATCTTCGGTACAACTTCCACACTTAGGATAAATGCATCCCTTAACTCTCACCAGAGAAATTTCCTTATACAGCAGATGGTGATTAATGCAGAGACCCACAATTAGCCAATGTGCAGAGAACAAGAGGCTGCAGGGTGCTTATACCTGAACAGGACAGATGTTTCAAACCTCTGTCTCCCACCAGTTATGATAGCACACGCCTTTAGTCCCAGCACTCAGGAGGCAGAGGCAGGTGGATCTCTGTGAGTTTGAGGCCAGCCTGGTCTACATAGTGAGTTCCAGGCCAGCTGGGGCTACAGGGAGATCCTGTCTCAAAAAAAGACCCCCCCCCCAAAAAAAATCAATCAAACCTATGCCTCCCAAGACTCAGGGATCCTTGTGGAAGAGGAGGTGGAAAGATTTTAAGAGCCAGAGGGGGTGAATGGATCACAAGGAAACAGAGTCTTCCAGACAGCTGGTCAGTTACTCATATGAACTCACAAAAATGGTGACAGCATGCACAAGTCCAATGCAAGTTCAAACCAGACAAAATACCAGCATAGATATGGGGAAGTAAGAGATCCCAACCCAACCTAAGGAACTTTTGGCAATTGATGGCTGTTGTGAGGGGGGCAGACAGTGTCATTACCCAGTGAATGGATCCACACTGAAGAATGTTGGAGGGCACAAATCATACTCTATAGGTGAGAGTATATAAAAGAGAGTTCATTAAATTGGCTGGGGGCAGTGAGGAAGGTGGGAAAGGGGAGCAAATCCAAATGCCATCAAACTATAGAGTATGAAAATTCAATTAAAAATGCAATAAAATAAAAAATTTTAAGGATGTAAAATAGGTCAAGAAAGAAGCTTTATGGGTAAAGAAAATGCCCCAAACACTTATAACGGTCTATACTGTTACTATTTGTAAAATTTGGAGTAAATTTAAAACAAACAAACAAAAAACCATTGCAACTGTGTCATACTTATAGTCTTAGCACTAGGGGAAGCTGAGGCAGGAGTATTAAAAGTTTTGAGGTCAACCTTGGCTACACAATGAGACCCTGTCTAAACAAAACAAAACAAAAAACAATTAAGAACTATATACTGGGGCTGGCAAGATGGCTCAGAGGATAAAGTGCTTGCTGCATAGTTCTATCCCCAGAACCCACAGAGAAGAAGGAGAAAACAGACACCTGAAAGTTGCCCTGACTTCCACACATGCACCATAGCTCATGTGTGCCCCCACCCAATGCAATAATAATGCATTTTTAAAAGAAGAATTGTGGTCGGGCATGGGAGGGGGTGGCATGCCTATAATCCCAGCACTCAGGAGGCAGGGGCAGGCAAATCTCTGTGAGATCAAGGTCAGCCTGGTCTATATGGAGAGTTCCAGGCCAGCTGGGGTTCCAGAGAGACTCTGTCTCAAAATAAAACAAAAACAAACATATTTGGGGAGGTTAAAGGAACTCAATATATAAAACTCAAATTTGCCTAATCAAGGTGGGTGTGGTGGCACACACTTTTAATCCTTGCAGACACAGGTAGATCCCTGTAGTTTGAGGCCAGCCTGGTCTACATAGAAGTTCCAGGCCAGCCAGGGCACTTGGTGGGACCCTGCTTAAAAACTAAGGAAGGCAGAAGAAGAACAAAAACCTTATTTTACTATGGATACATCATGTCCTAGAGAATGTGGCTTATAGATACAGGCAATGGGTTTTTAAAAATTGAACCCCAGAATTAGTCTAACTGAATTCTCATAGAGATCTACCTGCCTGTGCCTTCTGAGTGCTGGGACTAAAGGTGTGCGCCATTATGCCCAGCAACATTGCCATTCTTTACAAACCAAACCAGAGTAACAAACTGCAAGTAAGACAGTAGATTGTGACTTTGGCCCTGGAATGTAGAAACATTAAATATAATTTCAACTGCTCCTCCTCCCCCAGTGTTAGGAATAATAGGAAGGGGATCTATTACCTTATCTACTGAGATGTGGGTAACAACAATCCATGAGACCAAAAGTAAGACCAACTTCACTGTTACCAACCCAACACACTGAGTTCTAGCCAGTGTGGGGTTTGGCTATTAGCAAGTTCCAGAACACACATACACAGAAATAATGTCTTTACCTGGAACTTTAAAGATATGCGCTCAGGGGCATGGTGGTGCACATCTTTAGTCCCAGCAGCCCTGGGAGGCAGAGGCAGGCAGATCTCTGTGAGTTCAAGGCCAGCCTGGCCTACATAGTGAATTCCAGGTCAGCTGGAGCTACAGGGAGACCCTGTCTCAAAAACAAAACAAAACAAAACAAAACAAAAGAAAAACAACAAAAAAAACCTCAGTTTTATGCTGAAATCCACTTAAATTTTAAAAACTGGTAGATTTTTGTATAGACATAATAATAGACAATTCTCACCTCAAGCATTCAGGGTCATTTTGAGGTTTTTCTTTGATTTTGATTTTTTCTGCCTCTAGGTTCTTAGTGGTACAAATGGCTTCATTCTCTTCATCTTTAAGAACTAAACAATTAAGAAAATTCTTATAATCATTTAAAAATTAAACATGAAGATTGTCTTTAATCACTCATGAAAAACAAATCTAATTTTTGGTGTTACATATCAAATATATATAACAATAATTTATATTTTATAATTTAACATAGACATTAAAGGAACAAAAAAGATGGTCACAAAATTTATACAGAAAGAGTATCAGTTCTAGCCAAGCCTGGTGCAGCCCTTAATCCCAGCTATTTAAGAGGCTGGGGCAGGAGAATAAGTTCAAAGACAGCATAGACAACTTAGGGGGACCTTTCTTGAAATAAAAATAGCAATAAATAAGCAAGTAAACAAACAAAGCGCTAAGGCTATGGCTCGGGGTTGTGGTGCTTACATAGCCTGTCTCAGGCCCTAGACTCAATCCTCATAATTGGAAAAACAAAAGAAAAGCAGCCCTATTACCAAACAATTCAATTGTGTTATATCTGTTCCTTTTATGAACCATTCCTAGCACTGTACAACAGGGCAGTACATTGTGAAACACCAATGCAACACAATGATGTCCATAATACTAATCTACTAAGGTAATACCTTTAAGTTTTTTCTGGAGTGTAGATAATTCTTCTAACAGTTCACTTTTTTGTTTCTGAAGTTCATTTAACTGTCCACTATCACATTCCACTGACTTCATTTCTAGAAAGAAATACAGTTAACACCAAAACATTATTTAGGAATAAATTTAATCAAAGAAGTAAAAGATTTGTACATAGAAAACTCTAGTTGATGAAAGAACTGAAGAGCAACTAAACAGAGATATCCACTGTTCATGGGTCAGGAGAATTACTATTCTTAAACTGTTCACGCTACACAAAGCAACATACAGACTCAACGTCATCCCCATTAAAACCCCAATGGTATTTTTCACAGAAAAAGAGAATATAAACCTTAAAATATGTAGAAACGAATAGACAAAAAGTATTTAGACTTTGGCATATTTAAGTATGTTATCAATTCCTAACATTTTCTCATTTAGTAAAACTCTAGGCAGCATATGGTCAATTTTAAGTCATAACTGGCTTCTCTTGGCCACCAAAGGAACAGTCTTTAATAAACTTACCAGAAGACATTAATTAAGCTAACGAAAGGGACTTCAAAATGTTCCATTTACCTCCAAGTGAAAGAAAAACTTCCCACTTCCCAAGATGAGAAATCTCTTCTTTGTAACTGAAGCATGTTCAAGGTGACGTTCCCTAGGATTTCCTTGCATGACTAAAAGTTCACAATAGTGCTTACACGTTTCTTCTGCCTGAAAGCCCCATCACCCTTATTCCCCAGCTAACTCCAATCCATCCTCTAAGACTCATCTCATCTCTTAATTTTTCAAACAATTTCCTTTTCTGCCATAGCTCTCAGGGCTTCCATCACACATACATTAAACTCCAGATGGACTCCAGCTCTCTGAAGAGCTTTTCAGTTGCTTTGTTTTTAAGGTCACAAGTGTGGCAGTATTCAGTATTGTGCTGGATAGCTTTAGTGTCAACTTGACACACCTGGGTTGATGGAGCCTCAGTTGGGGAATTGCCTCTATTGGACTGGCCTGTGGCCATGTCTGAGGAGCATCTTAGTGACTGATGTGGGAGGACCCAGCCCACTGTGGGTGGTACCACCCCTGGGTAGGTGGGCCTGTGTTGCATAAGAAAGCAGGCCGAGCAGGGGCCAGGGGAGCAAGCCAGTAAGCGGAATTCCTCCACGGCCTGTGCTCCAGCTCCTGCCTCCAGGTTCCTGCCTTGAGTTCCTACCTTGGGCTCCTGGATGAACTGTGACATGTGATATGTAAACTAAATAAACCCTTTCCTCCCCAAGTTGGTAGTGGTCAGAGTATTTTGTCACAGCAATGGAGAACAAACTAGGGCAAGTATGGACCACAGTGTTGGCAGGGATATGAAGATACTGAAAATTTGGCATGTTGCTCATAGGAAGGCAGCAGGGTGCAACTGCTTTGGAAAAAAGTTTGACCATTTCTCTAAACATTCACCACAGAAATGTATGAATTGGCTATTCCACTGTAGGTATTTCAGAGAATTAAAACAAGCGTCACATAAGAACTTGTATTTCTACATGCTCTGATCAGCTGCTAATCCTTTCTAGGGAATTGCTCTTATCAGACACTGGACTTTCTAACCCCTGGAGCTTTTGTTTTTACAGAACGCTTTTTTTTTTTTTGGTCTTTTTGAGACAGGGTCTCCCTTTAGCCCCAGCTGGCCTGGAACTCACTGTGTAGACTAGGCTGGCCTTAAACTCACAGAGATCCACCAGAACACTTTTTATTGAGATATAACTCACTGACTATATAATTAACCCTTTAAATGCAGATTCCTGCATCTATTACAATTATTTTTGAACATTCCAACACCCCAAAAGAAACTTCATTTCTGTTAACATGCATTGCCGAGTTTTCCCAACTCCCTCAGACCTAGGAAACCACTAAAGCACACTGTTTATATGGATCTGCCTATTCTGATCACTGGGCAAAAATGAATTACAGTATGCAGGTTTCTATGTCTGCCTTCTTTCACATGATATGATTTTAAGGACTATGTCGTATCACATATCTCTGTTGTAGTCTTCTGTATGTACCCCTCCAAATTCTATTATATAGATTTTTTTTGTTCATCAGCTGACACACTTTATGATTGTGAGCAGTTTGAGGCTACTATGATTACTGAATATTTGTCTCCAAGTACTTAAAAAAAAATTATGTGTACGAGTGTTTACCTGCATGTATGTGCACCATATGCATGCCTGGTGCCAGCAGAGGCACAAGAGGGTATTCTCTGGAACTAGTTATCAACAGTTGTGAACCATCATGTGGGTGCTGAGAAAAGAACCTGGGTCCTTTGCAAGAGAAACAAGTGCTCTTAAAAGCTGAACCTACTCTCCAGATGTCCAAGCTCTTACGTGGCTCTTGTTTTACATCATTTTTTAAATACCTAGAGTAGAACTGTTAATTCATAATTTCTGAGTTGAATGTTTGGAGAAATGGCCCAACTGTTTTACATAGCAGTTGCACCATGCTCCCTTCCTATCAGCAACACACCCATTTTCCCTATCTTGGATCTTTGCCAACACTCGTCCATCCTAATTACTTCTACACATGTGCTTTGTTATAGTTTTGATTTGCATTTCCCTGAAAACTTCTGGTGTCAAGCATCTTTTCATGTGGCCATTACTGTCTTTTGGTTGGATATCTAGTTAGATAGATTATTCTTCTTAAATCGGGTTATCTTTTTAAAAACTTGTTGATTTTTACAATTGTGATACAATATAATTTGATGGTATTTGGTCCCCTCTATCTGCACCTCCCCTCACTACCTCCAGCCCAATTTAATATGCTCTATCATATATATACTAAGGCCTACAGAGTTTAATTTGTGTCCCTAAGGGTCCTTCAGTGTAGGTCTATCCACTGGAGCCTTGTTAACCTACCTGGAGTCACACCCTTAGGAAGACTGACTTTTCTTCCAGCAACTCCTCCTGAGAGGGCATATCTTGCCAGGCTGGGTGTTATAGTTCACAGGATTCACAGCTGGGTAAGGTTGATGATTATTTTCTCCTTCTGGTAGCATGCACCTTCCAGCACTATGAAAGCTAGCCAGTAGAGATGAGGCTCTGAAGTCAGCACCAGCTTGATTTCTCCTTGGTTTTCTATGACTCACATATTTAGTGCCTTCAGCAACAGGGTCTTACCATCCAGTTCTGGTGGATAACCAAGACCAAGGGCAATGGCCAATTGTGTTTGAGGGTCTATGGGACCTCTTGTCAACAACTTCAAGAGATGGAGTCCATTCCTGGCACTGGGGTTTTATTTTGTAAGTCTAATGTATCTAGTAGGGGCAATGTCCACCTGTTATAGGATAACTCCTTTTAATCTCTTCTCATGCTGTATATGTATACACTTTAAGAAGCTTCTACAGTGGACAGTTTCCATATGGCTTTCTCTAAGGCCTTTAGCGTTACTTATCCCTTCCCATATTTCTTCCTTTGCCTTGCCCTCCCATTCCCCACTCCATTTAATCCCTCATACTTTATTATTCTCCTTTCCTCCTTTATCTCATTGTATTCTATCTCCCCTCCTAGGCCATTTATTAGTTTCTTGACTTCTCTGGATTTTCAAATTGAAGCATGCATATCTAGGATTTCAAAGCTAGCATCTGGCTATGAGAGAGAACATGTGATGTTAGTCTTTCTGTGTTACCTCACTCAGAATGACTGTTTTCAGTTCTGGTGAATCTCATAATTTCATTTTTTTTGTCTTTTTGAGACAGGGTCCCCTTGTAGCCCCAGCTGTCCTGGAACTCACTATGTAGATCCACCTGCCTCTGCCTCCCAAGTGCTGGGATTAAAGGTGTGTGCCACCACACCCAGCATAATGTACCACAGTTTCATGACCCATTCATCAGTTGACAGACATCTAGGTTGTTTTCAATTTCTGCCTTTGTGAAAAGAGCAGCAATGAACACGGATGAACAAGTTTTTCTGTCGAGGAGATAGAGTCTTTGGGATATATACCTAAGAGTGATACAGCTGGACCATACAGCTGGATCATATGGTAGATCTTTTTTGGTTTCTTTTTTTGAGACAGGGTCTCTCAGTAGCCACAGCTGTCTCAGGTGCTGGGATTAACGGTGTGTCCCACCACACCTGGCTTAATTTCTAGCTTTCTGAGGAACCTCCACACTGATTTCCATAGTGGCTGCACCACTTTGCACTGCCACCCACAGTAGATAAGAATTCCCCATTCTCCACATCCTCACCAGCTTTGTCATTGTTTGTTTTTTAGATCTTAGTCACTCTGACTGGGGTAAAATGAAATTCGAAGTGGTTTTAATCTGCATTTCCCTGAAGACTAAAGATGTTTAACATTTTTAAAGTATTCCTCAACCATTTGTTTCATCTTTAGCGAACTCTCGGTTAATCTCCTTGCCCCACTTTCTACCCTTGTTTATTTGCTAGTTTTGGTTTTTTGATTAATTACACAATCATCACTTTACATCTCCTGCAAATGCGTATTCCCTTTGCACCAGCCTCTCCATACCCTTGCCCCTTCCTCCTCCTCCCCTGCCTCCCCCAGCCCCCAGCACTAGACTTTTTTTCCCCCACAAAATAGCTACTCTTTCTTCTACCCTTCCTGCACTCCTGAAAACCCACCCTGGGAAAGGTGTTTCAATGCCAGCTGCAGATGCTCAAGCCATAGGAACATCCTATGGGAAAAGCACTCCGAGCAGTCTGCCTTGGCTGAAGGGATGGGGCAGAGGCCTCAATGAACTTGGCCTCCAGGAGTTGGGACATACCGGTACAGAAATGGGGTGTGCAGCACCCAGCCTCGGGAACCCAGGGCTCATGGGTGGGCAGGGGCAAGGGTCCCTGAGTGTCTCCAGCAGCAAGCCAAAGCAACACCTGGCACAGCCCTGGGGTGTGTGATCTGTTTATTTTCTGATGCCACTAACCCTCTGTCAGAGGTGTAATTGGTAAAGATTTTTCTAAAGATTCTATCAAGAAACTCCTAAAGCTGATCAATACATTCAGTAAAATAGCAGGACATAAAATTAACACACAAAAAATCAGTAGCTTTCCTATATACCATCAATATACATACTGAGAAATAAATCTGGGAAATGATCCCATTCATGATA